AGAGAAGAGAAAAATAGAAGAGAGAATATAAAAAAAATTGAGTCTAAAAGTAAATATTCTTATCATTTCTTTTGATTGATCTCGGATGTAATTTTTTCTTTCTTTGTTTGCATCTCTCTTTTAAAATAGATTCATGAAGTGATTATTGTTAATTACTTCTTAAGTATTTTAAAATTTCTCGTATTAAATGAGAGGAAGTTTTAAGAGGTTGCCTTGATGGTGATAAAGATTTTTTTTTTTTAATTTAGGGTCTTTCAAATTGAGAATCATTTCAACTTAAAAGTTTAAACTACTATGTGAAACTCTAAAATATGATTTATATTATTCTCTAACATACTCTTAAGTGAAAATTTTTTAGGTTTAAAACTTGTACGGACCTACACTATCGTATGCTTAATTAATTAGAAGAGAAATGAGGATGGTGAGATTCGAATTTATAATTGTTTGATCATCAAGGTTTTGATACTATATTAAAGGATCATCTCAACCTAAAAGTTTAAATTATTAAATGAAACCTTAAGATATGATATATATTATTCTTTAACGAGCTCAACATTTAGGAAAAAAAATTATTAATTTTTTTTTAATGTATTAAATCGATATGGATAGTGTGCTCGTAAAACTTTTCATAAAAGAAGTTAGTTTTCATTGACAAATAAAATATTTTAAAAATATTTTTATTGTTGGGAAAAAAAACCAAGAAGAAGGGAGGGAACACTAGTAGGATTTAAGCCCTAAAAGTAATGCAGTAAAGGAATCGGGAACGAAAACTGAGAATTCCATATATATATATATATATATATGGATGTCATTTTTCAAATTATATGCACCCACGAAAGATAGATTCTAGACCTAGTTGCACTCAATAGTAGGATACCGATCTTAAAAAATAAATAAATAATAACGAAAGTAAGATTCTGATTGCTCAGCCTATAATAAAGTGATTTTAAGATACTTTTGGAGTTGCAATTGCAGTGTGAAAATTTTGGGGTATCGGTTAACGCTGGGTCCTTAATTCTGTTGCAACTTTATACCTTAAAACTACATCCATAAAGTTGGCATTATTGGTCTCTACCACACCATATTAATTATTTTCTTATTAATTTTTACGAGCTGTTAAAATTAATTTGTGGCCTATTTTCAGGCCACGAAGTTGCTAAACCCCACATAAAGCTCCAAGCATGAATTTATGGTCGTGGAAGTCCACATCCACAAATTCCTCATGAGTGCTCGTTTAACACAAAAGAAGAAAAGTGATTTTAGTTCCGTGATTCGAATTTCAAAATGATGGTACAAAATTAGGCACGAAATAGGAAATTGAACGGACTCTCTAAATATAGAATAAAATTTTGTCGTCCTTTCCAATGCATAGAAAATTCAGGACCCTTGTGCATTTATTAACTCGGTTTTAGGCTAGGTGTGACTCTGAGTTTCCTTCCTGGACTGGTCCCTTTCTTATTAATTGTTGCTAGGTTAAGTATTTATATTAAATTTATGGTACTTAAATTTACGGTAAAAAAATAAATCTAAGTTTCTTGAAATAAAAATTATATTGCTTATATATGTGTATATAAGGTTGATGATGTGAAATATTATCATAGATATCAAGGCAATAAGTATTAATAGCAATTTTGTAACTACATTGTACCTTGATTAAATGGCATTTATGGATTTACTGATCCGTACTAAGCGCAATTAGTAGTCATTACAAACTAAATTAAAAGACTTGGACATGTGTATGGTGTCACTGATTGTTGCGACTCATGAACACTGTGGATTCAGACTAGCTATATAGAGCATTGTCACTATGTACTGAGTTAGTGACATTTTTATAATTTTCATAGAATCTTCAAGCATTTAATATATGAGTTTTACATAATATTACACTTTTATTCTTGATGTTTCTAAAAGCTTTTAATTTGGTTCTCAATTTCAATTGCAATGCGTTTTTGTTTATGGATATAAAGAGAAAAGGAAACAAAAAGAGAAAAAGTCATAATCACGTCCGATTCCAATAATTTTGACTATCGATCTTCCATTCAAATTATTTAACTTAGAGAGAGAAGTTTGCTCATAATTGTTTCAATCTATAAAATAGTTGGAAGAAGTAGATTTAATTCCAAAATATTTTGAATTTTTAAATTTAATTTATTTTTTATGTGCATTGAAATATGCTTTGAGGTTTTAATTGAGTTTCTTGATTTTAGTGATTTTTAGGGATTTTAGTGATTTTTAGGTGTTTTGAGGCAAAAATGATCTTGGAATTGGGTTCTGAAAGCTTGAAATTGAAATCATGATTTCTGAAGAAGATTCTGCCAAAAACTAAACTCGAGTTCACAAAAAATTATAGGTACACGATGCATCGTCAACTACACATAAAATAAGTAAGTTGTGTGGGCTTGCTTCTGCGGGCCCAACGGTGCAAGCCTTGGTTCTTTTTTTCAGTAATTTATTGTTTTTTGTTTTTTTTTTAACTATAAAGCTTGGCATTGATAAAATATATATGATATGTGTTTAGATTTTAGAATGAATATATTATTATTTAAAATTGATTTTTCAGTTTGTTGTTTTTGATAAAAAATTCTCATTTAATTAATTTTTTATTTTTATGTAATTTTATTTGTTAACAAATACAATTCATTTTTTTAATGTATGGATTGTGGAATAAAATTTTAGATATTATTTTTATCTCCCTTTATATATATATATATATATATATATAATTTACATGATAAATTCTTATGATTTTTACATGAGTGTAGCGCGCACATGTGTGTTAAAAAGCTAAAAGTGTATTTCAAATAATTTCTCTCAAATTTGTTATAAGAAATTATTTTTAAGATAATCAATTAAAAAATGAAATTCGTGTGTTTTATTTATTTCTTCTTTATGTAATCAAAATTTATCGAAATTAATTTTATAATAGTTTTATTTCGGTATGTTAACATCAATTTTATTCAATATATTCATTATAAATTAAGCATTTTCTTAATATTTTTTTTGTTTTATGTTGCACGCTCCAAACCCACTAAATATAGTCATAATGTATAAAAAATATCAAATAATTTATTTTATTAGAAATTAATTATGCATCTACACATATAACTCCAACTATTTGTTATATATATATATATATATATATTCTAAAATAATTGAAATAATATTTTAGAAGAACCATCCTATTATTCAAATACAGCTTTTTTTTATAGTATTATTAACTATTTTGTGAATAAATATATATAAATCAAGTATGCATACTTTCAAAATATAATCTATTGATTATTTTGTGAGTAAGTATATATAAATCAAATGTACATACTTTTAAAAAATAATCTTCTCATCAACATTAAATAAGAATAAATTTTTTTTTCATTTGTTAATTTTTATGCATGTTTCTACTTTAATTGTTGCTTTATTTTTTCAATATAATATTATAAAAAAAATATTAAGGCATTTTTAAAAATTTTCTGTTTTGATTACTACAAGTTTTTATTTGAGAATCAATGCTTAATGAAGAAAAAAATATGTCTTCTTACATAAACATTTATGAAAAACATACGGATAAATTAATTAAAAACAAAATTTTGATTAAAAATTTATAAAATTAGATGAAAAAAATTATTTTTGATTTGATATATTTTAGTAGACACACAACATAACACTAGTTATCGGACTAGAATGATTTTTTTCAAATGATTTCACTTATTATGTTCAATCCGCAGCGTAACGTATACAACAAACTAATTGTATTCCTAGAACTAATAATAGATCTTCTTTACATAAAAAAGAGAAAAAAAAAATCTGTACAAATAACCTAATCACACATCTTACCAGAATATTGCACCTTTTATTGTAATATGTATTTAAAAAGATCCACATCGCATCTATATTATTCGTAATTAGAACTAGTTGAATGTAAAAATATTATGTTAATAAGAACTCAGCGACAACCGTAGAGGAGTGCCTGGATGGTTCCCTCTTTCGATTTTTTATTATGTTGTAAATTCGAACATTTAGAGTCAGCATTCAAAGGAAATTTTCGTAAATGCACGAGATTGTTATGGGGGATACATCAATTAGATCGTCTGAGATGAAAACTTAATGTCAATTTAGTTTTACGCTAATAAGAAAATACTCCTATCCATTAAACATACATACATATATATATATATATATATATATATGCATGCATGCATTTCTGTCCAACTTTCTGAAAGTATAGAATGTTGAACAACTCCTAGGGACCTTTCTCAATCTGGTCCCTTCTCGTTTGAACAATTTCCTCGTACTCTGGTCTGTTACAAGTCCTTCAAACCTCACACATTTTCAATCAATCAGACCCAGGATTACTGGGTTAAAATTTTGAAGGCCTGTTTCCACTCTCTTCTGCTGACAGGCTTCTTCCGGTCCAACTTTCTGAAAGTATAGAATGTGGACAGCTATATAGATTACAATGGAGGCCCAATATGACTCAAAATTAGGCCCCAAGAAACTTGGAGGATTTTAGTTGTTTGTTTATTTTATTTTTGAGCAAACGAGTGACAGCTTTTAAAATCAAAGGCCTAGCCCAATACAAGCCTTTTTTTTTTTTCCTCCCTCGTTTCTACTGTACTGAATAGATGAAGCCTGCACGGTGCAGTAGTCGTCAAGAGAGAAAATGTTAAAGATTTCAATAGTCTTGCTCTTTTAAGAAGCTTTAAGCACTGAGCATGAAAATTAAAAAGATAAAGTAAGAAACACATCACAAGCATTGTCTATTCTCACAGGGAACCACATTATTCGAAAAGAAAATTAAGTCTTCTAAAGTTTTTGCAATAATTATGAACTTCTTACATGCCTGATCTTGTCTCTGGCTAGAAGTTCTGAAATTACCCCAATCATGGAAGTTTTCACGTCCAAATGGAAAGTACACACGCTCTTGAAATCATTTACACATTACCATCACCAAGAGAGCAATTACACAGTAGGTGTTCCTTTATGAGCAATGAAGAGCACAAAACTCAAAGCATCCACCCAGGAATGAATCCATGGACTTGCTGGGTTGCATGTGTTGTTGCAGTTATCTGGTCTGAGCCAACATGATCGTAGCTGTTTTCACCACATGAATAAACAGAAAGAGGATTAATACACATAGCTGATGAATCAATGGATCAATATTTTGGACACAGGATCAGTCTTAGTTGATTTGAGTGCTAATTAGATTCTGAACAAAAGTCTGATCAAAGGAATTGAGAGATCTTGAGAAGCTGAATGTTTACGCACCCTATTTGCAAAGTGGGATTGCATTCTAGAGGCTGGAATAGCCCCTGAGACTGAGCAAGGTGGTGGCCATAGGACATATTTTGCTGATCATCACCTTCCCATGATGGTCGGAGGCTATTGCTTACACTTATATCATCCAGCTGCCAAACATTAGAAACACGAAAATAGAAGGCAAATCATATTAAGCTGCTAGACATGAGTATATTTCAGCATAATAATATGTTCAGAAAGAGCGCATATGGAATGAGTTGTGCTGAAGAATTGAAGTTGTTGCAAAATTTGAGAAATGAAGTGTACTAGCCAGCATTTTACTAGAGTGAAAAACTGAAAGTAAGGAGGAGAATGAGAACAAATCAAAACAGGAAACTCCTGATTGCAGTATAAAAAGTTAAGAATTAAGACAGTATATTAAGTGTGCCACACGGTTTTTTGACACTTTCCCACCTTTAGATTGTAAGAAGTTATACTTGTATCTTTTGGAAACTTCATGAAATGATGAACATTGATATTCCTTAATCATCAGAAAAAGTAAGGAGTTTGGTTTTAAAGATCTCTATAGATGGATTCTTATGGGGAAATCGAAGATTTGATATCCTGATGAGCATGACAGATGTAGGGCCTTTAACAAAAATTAAGAATAAATCCTGACAATCTTGCAGAAAACAAATCTGGGTATAACTGGGGCTAACAAGTCACCAGAAACAAGTCTAGCCTCTCAGACAGCATGAAATCAATTTGGATATAACAAGCTGGTGAAATATATATTATTACCTTCATTGTCAAAGCTCTGTTAGCTTCCAGCAACAGATGTTCCTGTACTCAAAAACAATTTTCAGTTAGCATTGGAAGCAACATAAAGTGAGTTAAACTAATTATACTGTCACTTTTATGTACCTTATTTTGAAGATCAGCAAGTTGGTCGAGCATGTACTGGGTCTGCAAAGTGGCATGAAAAAATAATAATAATATCAAACACAATGTAGAAGAACTAGTATTTTGTTATCAACGAATAATCAATAAGAAGCATGATAGACAAAGAATTATAAACTTTCCGTGCTCTCTCAAAGGATAAGAGCAACAGGGTCAAGCCAAGAAACAATCTCATAGTATAGGTATCATTTACTACCGTTGACTTGCAGCAGGTTCTAATTGCATAATTACATGACAGGATTCTATCAGACCGTTCTAGCATGGTTACAACATGATCAACATGTACATCAAATACACAAGTAACAGGTGGAGATCAGGGCAGCAATAAGGTAACATTGATCTTTCCTTACTAAGATGGGAACATTCGTACACTAGACAACTAAAACAGGCTGCTCATACAAATTATTGAAAGAAAGATAGCCATCTACACCTATCTTAAGGCCAAGCATTAGTTTGTTCCTAGAAGACCTTTTTGCATCAATATTCCAAGTTTTTTTTCTTCTTGTTTTCCCGTCCATATAATTTTAACATCATAGTAATTGACACACAGAAATCATCTGGATTGTGAAATGCTAGCATGTGAAGTTAGGTTGTTTCCTTGATGATAGAAAGAGTAAGTAATACTAAAAGATTAAAGCTAAATTGTAAAATACCTCTTAAATTTGAGTGAAAAAACTAATACCCTCTAGAACCAAAAAAATTCATGATTTTGCTCTCTAAACAATATAATGTTTTGAATTTGTCGCTTCTATTAGGATTTTCTTGAGAAATTGATGAAAAAACTCTTTAAAATTCTCTCTTTCTTTATTAGTAAACATGTTTTTCCCACGGTAGAGAAAAGGATAAGAATTTGGAGAATTTTTATGTTTTTTCCGTCAATTTTTCAAAAGTACCCTAATAAAAGGAAGCATCAAAATAATCATAGTGTATAGAGAGTAAAATCATATATATAATTCAGAAGGGTATTTTCTTTTTCATTCAAGTTCGGGAAGGTATTTTATAATTTAGCCAAAAATTAAATTACCTTAGTTGACCGAACTTGCTTCAATGAAGACTCTAACTGACGCTCGAGCTGCTCAAGTTCTTTTGTATTCAGAGGTCCGAGGTCCTCTCCAAGAAGGTTCCTGCAGTATTTATCAGGAAAATAACTGCTTATATTTGATAACAAGGCAGCATCCATTAAATTTTTGCAGCTAGACAACAAAACTTCAGTTTGAATCACACATCTTCAGCTACAGCAACTAAATCACTTGGAAAGTAAAATTTTCTTAATAGAATGATCCAGAATGCTTGTTATTGTGGTTACCTCTGAGTTCGTTGTAGGGCCTCAAATCTTGCTTTCACTTTCAAGTACTCCCTGTAGCTGCTCTGCTACCATACACCCAAATTAGATGAAAATACAAACCAAGAATCATAACTCAAGTTATTCTAATGCAAGTAGAGCATGAAGTCAGATTATAAGAAAAGCATAATAAACCCTTAATTTTCCTTCCTCTCTTAATATACTTAACCTATCCTATATTGTGCGAACAACAGCATGACCATTCATCGTCTATGCTACAGAATCATTTTCTATATTGAACAAGGCAGTTTTTGAAGGCCTTTTCATTTGTCCCTTTTAAGATAGATATCCCAACTAAATGGTTACACAAGTTTTTGGAGGCCTTTTCGAATTGCAGAAGGCTTGAATCTCCTTAAAAAAATAATAATAAAAAATAAAAAATAAAAAATTGCAAATTTCCTCAGCTATCATCAACTATTGAGGACTAATAGATAGTTGATAAAACAGACTAGGCTAAAATGTACAAATATCTTGACTGATTGTATTAAGAAGATTCAAGCCTATGCGATTTGGCAAAGCCTTTAAAAAACTGAAGCAATAGACAGACATTTTCTTTGGCTTGTTTCCAATACAACTAATCTTCATATGGCCCGTACTATTTTTTTTATTTTTTTATTTTTTATTTTTTTGCATAAAAGGTAAAGCCTAAAGCTCTATCATCTAAACACCATTTTGGCTAATGATATTCCCACTGAAAATAATTTGAGGAAATCCTTCACTTCTGTTTTTATTACTTTCTTCCCGTATATTAGAACCTTTGCCTAGCCGATTATTTATAGCTAAGAAAAATGTTGTAACTTCAGAGTCCATTTAGTTTAGTAACTTACCTTAGTAGTTAATGAGATGACAACCTGATGTATTTAATGTTATGTTACCATACGCTCAAAGTAGTAAAAGAGCATAATTCTAATTAAAACCTCTCATTTAATATTAAAATGTTTCAACAGATCACATTTTATAATGAATTTTGTTAGATTTTGAAGGGGGGGGACATATACTGTGTCTAAAAATAGCATTATACTGTAGTCATCTACATTTCTGGAAACATAATACAACTAAGCTTACCTCGAGCTCCTTGGCTGGTTTATTGACTTCTTCTGTACCATAGCTGCACTTCTGATACCTATCCAGGGTCTTCAGCATGCTGCAGAAAGGAAAAACATATAACAAGTCTAATAAAAACAGTCTGATTATAGAAAAAAGAGCAAAGCGAAAATGAAGTTTGTTTTAATTTTTAATAAAACAAGACCACTGTATTAATCAAGAGATTAAAAAAGAGGGTGTTAAAGTTTTAACCATTAAGTAAACACTCCTGATCTAATTCACAATAGAAGCGAAACCGTGTATCAAGTCACACAAGCAGAAGTAACCTGTCTTTTTCATCATCTGGAAGCCACATATATGTTTTCTCTATCCCTAAATGCCATGAGAGAATCTTGGCAGTCATAACCGACGATAGATTGCGGTCTTAAAATTTTGATTTTTTTTTTTATTTGGCACACTTAACTATGCTATAAAACAAATTAAGCCATAACCCATCTTTTCTCTGACGTGATTGATTTCCTAAAAGAGATCGAGAGGTAAATTGAAAGTATAAGATCTGTTGATAGTTGATCCATCCTGCCCTTCTACGCAGCGGAGCAACTGAATTAATGATCATATTGACCTCAAGATGTACAAAGTTAACAAAGTAGGAGTAAACCCTCTAATAAAACGTCTATTTTGAGTATATATTTTTTTAATTTGTATGGATCCAGCAGCTGTATTTTTTTGCATCTCCCCTGTATAAACTATGGTTGTAACAAAAAGAAATACTAGCAACACTCTCTCTAACACTTTCTTTAAATACTTACTCAATAAAAATATCCACCACCAATAATAATAAATAGAAGATAACTAATGCCTCATGTTCTCGATAAGTTTTTAAATTATAACTAATCTCATATAATCTAAAAGACTAAAATACTCTTTGTGTTTTTGTTTACGTTTAAAAATTTATAAAAGAATTTGACGTGATCACTTTTATTGAATAAGTGCTTAAAATAAAATATTAAAAAAAGTATTGCTGGCACTTCTATATGACAAATGCTAGAGTGGTATAGAAGAGTGTTAGCAAGACTCTTTCTACCACTCTATTTTAAACACTTAATTAATAAAAATATTTACGTCAAATAAGAATAAACATAAGATAACTGATGCCAAAAGTTATTAAGAAGTTTTAAATTATAACTAATCTCATATTATGTAAAAAACTAAAATATTTCTTGTTTATTTTTAAAATTATATATATAAAAAAATTGACGTTAATATTTTTATTAAGTGTTTAAAAGAAAGTGTGAAAGTGCTAAACAGAGTGTTGCTAGCACTCCTCCAAATGCTAACATCTCTTTCTATCACGATAAAAGGGGTCTGGTTTAAACTATATATGATATGATGCATGTAGGGAGTAATCCATCGGACTCGATCTCTACTGTATTATTAATTCAGGGTTTCCTTATGTACAACAATTTGTAAACAAACCTGTCAATATAACTTTTATATGTTACCTATTTTTTCAATGGTATCCTTGTAAACAAATCAATCAATCAATCAATTACATTTTTAGTTTATTCAAATTCTTTAACATGCCCACCTATCAATTTTTTTAAATCAAAATTTCTCTTTTATAACATTTATTGGTTTTTATTTTTTTTATTCGACAACAAAAACTAATGTCATTAATTTACACATCAATCGAGATTAAATACATATACTCAAAAATATATTTAGCTCAATTCATAACTAAGATATAACATACAATGCATGTGTTAATTAATTTTGATGGAAAAAATTGACGGATGCATATTAAAAAATACGGATAATTCGATCATGACTTTCCTTTGATTGATTTTTTTAATACAAAAGGATGATTAAGAAATAATTTTTGAAAGTAATGTCAGAAAATGGAGCTTTAAGTCTCAAACAATTTCAAAAGTTATCAAGTTGTCAAAAATGGAAGACCAATTCATCGATCCTTAAAATCCATGGTTACCCTTGGTTAATAACCAATAAAACAATTAAAATCAATATTAAAACCCAACTTTGAAGTTATACAGTTTGATCCCTTAACAAAAATAAATAAAATAAGTAAACTCATTTACAACCTCTACATCTCTAGTAATACGATCTTTTACTTGTATAAAAACTTTAAAATCAACTCCAATTTCAAACTCTTTTTTCTAAATTTACTCCTAAAAACTTTAAAATTACCATTATGACATTTAAGACATCTATATGTTTCAGACTTCAATTCCCAGTTATGATTCTAATCCGCAGCCATCTGTCTTTTCCAATTCAATGACAGGCCAAGGTTTGAAACCGGAAAACAAAATGACCTCTATTTTATACTTTCACTTTATTCCTTCCGGTGTGCTTTTCATTGTACTTGTTGATTTTTTTCAAAGCAAGGTAGCCATCTTTCTCTCTTAGTATCTCGTAATTTGATTTTAAGTTGTTTGAGACAATGCTACTCAACGTTGCCAAATAATCTAGGATACATTATTTAGTAATACACTTAGATTTGACTTTTGTTATTAATTTTAGTTTTCATATTGGGAAATGAAGATTATATATATTCAGACTACGTGTTGTAGTTTTTGAGGGAAAAAAAAAAAAAAGCAGCTCATTATGGAAACAAGTTTGGAAAAAAATGATGTTTCAAAAAATTGTAAAAAGTGCACAAGAAATGCAAGAAACTTTTAATTTTTGCTATCTTTCCGCACTATATATGTGTTCAATATACTATTTGGAAATGATGAAAGCACTTAGATTTATTATATTGTGCTACTTACTAAAAAAAAGATTAAAAGTAAAAGTATTTTATATTATTATCTAGTAAACTGCACAAGAGACTGCATTCAAAGTTGGGGATCAAACAATTTTTTCAAGTGAAGTAGCAATCATACGAGAATCAATTGATGCTTCCATTTTTATTTTACATATTAACTTCTATGGTTGATTGAGAGGGGGTGGTTTTGGTGTTTGCTGTTATGTTACCTAGCATCAGTTAAGAAAGTATCCTGCTGATAATTAAAAAATTATGTTTGCCCTATAGCTGGTGTTTCAAGACAAAAACCCTAGCTAGCAAAAGTCAGTTCTATATTTCTAATGCCTTTTGTAAAGAGAAGTTAATTAACAGCAACAAAAACATGCATAGTTACACTGAAAAGTTACAAAATAAAAATTAATGATTGAAATCAATAATCCACAATGGATTACTGATACGTGGCACTAAATAAATCCAACTTCGAAATATTGTGATTTTAACCAAAGTTTTGCTTTTTACACTGGTAATCAAGTGATTACAAATCCCAAGAGATGCCAGAATCTCGTGGTACCAACATTTCTAAAACAAATCGTACATTTATTATTATTTAGTTTAATTAACCACAGTTTCGTTATTGAAACAAGTGCCGACATGGATTTCTGAAAGAACCATGTAACAAGGATAAGTACTTTCTATACCTAGCAGATAAACAGTTTAATATGACAAAGTAATTCTCAGGCTTTTAACCCTTCAAAGTTCACTCTAACGAATCCAAATTGTCTCATGGGTAAGAACAGGTTCCCAGGATAATCTACTCTATCTCATTTATAAGCAGTTTTCAAAACATACTTTTTCATACAAAAAACGGTTCAAAACCAAACTTAGAAGAACTACCAGCTGCTGGATATATCAGTGTATTTTGTTATTTTTTCAACTTAGGGGAAAGATAAATTAGAAGAGAAAATAGAATTAGCAAGAAAGTCTTTAATCAATGAAATTCAAACTTCTTGAGAGAAAAAGAAAAAGAAAAAGAAAAAAATTTTGGGCTACTAGTGAATTTTTGGCATAATTACTTGATCAATTAGGTAATCAATAGCTCATCCAAAGCAAACATCAAGATCTCAATTATGAACAACAAAAAGACTTCAAATTTAATTCAGATCCCATGAGGCCAGAATTACACGGAGCAGATCAAACAAAAACCTAATTGATTTGGGCTTCGCAAAGATCACAACAAAAGTAAACAAAAAAGTGAATAAAAACAAGAAGAAAATTTCACAAGCTAGTATACTTCTCCAAATATTTACCTTAACTATAATCAAACTTAAAAGGTGATCATTCCAAAGCCCCCAAAAAAAATAAATACCGCAAAATTGTTAGATCGAGAAAGGTTTAAAGAAGCTTGCTTTGTGAGACAAGAATCACACAAAATATCAATTCCATGAAGCAAAAAAGCTATCTAATAAATGGATCCAACGTATAATTAAACCTAAAAAAAGAAGGAAAAAAGAACGCATTAAGAGATTGGGATTAGAAGGAAAGGGAAAAAATAGGTCATACTTAGATGTGCTGCAAAACTCATAGAGCTTGCCACGGTTAGAGAAGATGATGAGAGCAACCTCAGCATCACAAAGTACAGATAGCTCATAAGCTTTCTTCAACAACCCATTTCTCCTCTTTGCAAATGTCACCTGCCTGTTTATCTTGTTCTCTATCCTCTTCAGCTCCACTCTACCTCTCCCCATACTCCTTAACTGTAATTACAAGCCATAAAAAACAATTAAAACCCCATCTTTCTTTATAACTAACACATATATCTATCTATGTAAGTTAATGATGTATTTAAAATTTACTTGCTGTGTGTACTAGCTAGAGGAGTATTTATTTCTTTTTCTTTTGTGTTTTTTCTTGTTTCTTCTTCTTCTCTTAAGAGCAAGAAGGTGATCTTCGCTTTTAAGAATCAGAACCCAAATTATAACCAAATATGTGAAAAACAAGAGAAAGTTAGATATTTTGAAGAAACCCTAGAGAGAGAGAGACCCACCAATAATAGAGAGAGAACAGCAAAAGTTTGTAGAAAGATAAAGTTGTAAGTTAATGAAGTACTTCGGTTGTCTTCTTTAACTTTGGTTGTCTTTTCTTTTCTGTTATATATATTTTTTCTTAAGCTTTTCTCTAGAAATGAAAAGCAGCTTAGGGTTAGTTGTTCTTTCTAGCTTCATGCAACTTCTCTTGTTTTTTATTTATTATTATTATTTTAGTCTTAATAGTTTTCAAGCTGACTTTTGTATGTGGTAATTAAATATCTTACAGTTTTTTTCTAATCATTGTTAAGTTGGTAATCCATATTTATATTAATACAGTTATAAAATTTAATTTCTTACAGTTTTTTTTCGAAAAATCCATCAATTTTTCGAGAAAATAACATGAGAGTAAATCCACCATTTTGCTTTTTACTATTTTTCCTTTTTCCCATCACTGATATTGATTACGAACGCAGATTCCTGTTTGGAGAGTGTATCCACGCCCCTCCGCCACAGTCATTGTGTGGGTGTGTTGGAGATACGATGGGAGGTGTGTACACGCACTTCGGGAGTAGAGTAAAAATGCGTCAGGGGTCCTTTCCATCATGTAAGAAAATT